AGTAAGATTAAATCCAGAGGGCTTGGAGACATGGCTCTAATTAGTTTAATATTGGGTTTTGGGGTGTAGGACAGAGGGAGCAGGACTGCAGTAACTATAATAAGATGAAGTTGTTAAAGTGCCTACAGTGTCCCTTTAAGAGTTTGTTATGCTAATATATTTTTTTTATTCCATAAGGTTTGAAAACAGAACATATTAAGATATGTTTATTATAATCCAAGGTTGAGGTAGACATATACTGTAATTCTTTTATAATTTTATGCAATTTACATTTAATTTTCAAATCCCAAATAGGATATTAGATGTAAACAAAGCTGCAAAATCATAATCCTATACATTGAGAAAAGGGTGAAATTATACATAAATATATTTTATTCTGGTTGCAAAATTCAAAGTTCAAACCTATTATTTTATTTTCCTGCAAGAAGTTGATAGGAAAAATATATTAGAATGTTAGTGGTCTCCCATCAGTAACACGTCTTTTTTTTTGTCACAAACCAAATAACATGTGGGAATTTGTGGGAGCTACCAAACATCATATAATATCTTAAGTGGTGAGCTTGAATTCAGAACAAAATAAACCACACTACACTTTTTTTATAAAACTTGTGAAATGCTATCAAAACCTGCTATATTTGTCTAATTATGTCTGCAAAACTGTTTGGTTCTCTCCTTACGCTTCACAACATATATTAGCATCCTCTCTCCTGTCTACCTCCTTCAGTGGGAATACAGCAAAACTCTATTCTGAAGCCCTTTAGATTTTATCTTTCTAATACCTCACTAGGTCATTTAAGAAAAAAAAGTCATTAGGAATTCATAACCACCAGTACACTGACAACAAGCAAATATACCATATGTCCCAAGATTTCCTTTCTTTTGCTCTTTGATTGTACCTGTGAGCTGTGACAGCCCTTCTCTCTCTCTCTCTGCTTCCTGTAGTTAGGTGTCTGATTACTCCCTGAAACTAAATCTCTCCAATACAGAGCTTTTTAAATCTACTCCACAAGGTACATAGTCTTGCCATAATCTCTCCTTCTTGGTATAATTTTGACTCATTCCCCTCATTTAATCCTCACATCAAGTCAGTGGCATGGCAGGTATTGCAGGCATGGCACCTGACCTAGGTGCCACTTAAAGTAAGCACAACAACAGAGCCAGATGAAACTCTTGCTCTGATCAGGCCCCCCTGAAGCCATCAGGGAGCTCATACAATCTCTCTGTACTGCCCTGTAAAAATGGTCTCTCCCTAGTGGTCCATGGTTCCTCGCAGTTCCAGTGCTCTGTGAGGGAGGTAGATTGGGTTTCCCAGTCTGCACTCTGATGTCTCATAGAGTGCCAGACCAGAAGGCCTGTGGCTGCACCAGCAGCTCTTCGGACCACCAGGAAATCCACCTGACCACCAGAGAATGTATCTGCGCTCTCCTTCCTGCCCAGGAAGTAAGCAGGAGGGGGCAAATTGTTATATAAAAAGGCAATTACTGTGTTTCTGAATGATTCTAGGAATATTAAGTATCTTTGCAATCTTTTTGTATCCTGTTCCTTGTTTGTGAAGGGCGATGATCTCTTCTCTTAACTTTGTTACCATTCTTTTTTTAACATTCAGTCAAATGTGACAGTCAACAAACCCCTAGCCACTTCAGGTATTTCAAGTGTTGAAATTGGGCAAAAAAGAAATGGAGTGGGTCTACTATTTAGACACTGCACCCCAAAGGTCTAAATGCAGAATTCGATCTTTTTAATATTTATAAATTTTTATCTTGTTAATTTTATATTTTCAACCAATATTATCTTAACAGCGTTTTACCTGTTTTTATCTGTTTTTTATGCACCTCTCCTGTGTGCAGTATTCCTCATTTGCATACATGCATGCTCTCTTTCTTTCTTATTACATAAGGTTATTTTACTTGTGCCTACATCTAACGTTTTTCACTATAACTAGTATTGATAAATACAACTCCTGCTGCTAATCTTATATATAAATAGAAAGAGTATGTCTACTAGTATTACTATTACACACTTATTATTACAATACATTATTATCAATACAGTATTATTATTACAATACATTGTTATTAATTAGTTCATCATTAAGCATATCTGGAAATATAGACTTATTTATTGTTATCTTCCTTTAGTCCAGACAGTATGTTATAACATATGATATGTTAAAACTTTTTCTTTACTTATTTCTTTCCGCTGTAATGAAGCTGTTAATACTGTATTAATCCTATGATGCCGGTAGTTAAAGACTGTACTACATGTTCCATCATACCATGCGTGTTATGACATGTAATATCCGGCTGACGGACTTGTCATTGGTGACGAATAGAACATTTGAACTACATGTTCCAGCAATCATTGGGACTCGCGCTGGGTCATTTCTGGGCGACGCTCGCAACGCAGGGGGAAGTAGGAAGCAAACACACACCGGATCACATTAATACTATTACACCTATATATCCAGGAACAACTTGAGGACGGACCCATACTTCTGAAGAAGCCCCAGATTGGGCGAAACGCGTTAAGTAAGAGACAGACTACTTGTTTTTTATACATATGATTTTATTTTTATGTATTAATAAAGTTCCAGCTTTTATCATCATATTGACCGGTCCTGGTGCATTTTGAATCCTGCTTGCTTCCTATATCCCTTGGTGGGGATTATACCACCACACGCTTTCATCACCAGAGCAAGGCATTGCTCTGAAAATTGTAAGTAGGATACCTGCTTTACCATATTATTATTGTATTTTACATACTATACCATTGTGGTCTATTTTTTATTCTTTTTACATATATGATTGTGGAGAATCGGATACCGCAGTAAACCACCATCCATATATCCCAAGACAGGGATTGTGCCGTCCAAGTGCTCTACGGCAGAGCTCTAAGTAGCTCTGCAAAGTGTGAGTTAGTCTTTTTATTGGCTTATATACATTCTCTTTGTGTTATTTTACCATTGACATATTGCACTATCATTGCTTTGTACTTTATTTCTTTGAGGGTTATATACACCACCATACCATTGGATATCTTTTTTGTATGTATATATCATTTTAATATTTTATCTACCTCAAATACTTCTTTGGTGCGGTTTACCACTTTGTTTTTTACATTTCAAGTGTTCCAGCTCAAGAACAGCTGGTGAAACTAATGAAGCCCTTGGTTAGTTGCATCAGGTGTGCTTGAGACACCTGTTTTGCATATTTATGCTATTGTGAGGGATTGTATTAAGGGTGTTGAATACTTTTGAGACTGGAGAAGTCATTACAAGTTGCATTTTCAGTGGAATTTGTGGAAACCACCGCATTCGTTGTGTTGAGCTGTTCCAATTGCTTTTGTTTGATTTGTTCGTTGCAAACAGCTGAAAGTCAGTACTTTTTGACAATAAACCTGAATTTCAATGGGGGTTGAATAGTTTTGATTACAATTATATATATATATCTATCCAGAATACTTAAAAATATATTCACAAATACTAATGTTGATTTGGAACATAACAGGCTAATAATGCATGTAGCCAATTATCATCATCATTGTGCTTTAAAAAGGGTCAAACATCAAATCAAATCTCCTTCAAAAAATTGTTAAAAAACAACTTCTTCATAAAAGCGTATCAATTAAACTGTTAATAGATCCTGACTGATTCCTCTTCTGCAACTGTCACCAGTCTAATACTATCCTTACCTTTTTGTGTCATTTTACCCCACTCCCTCTAGCATGTAAGCTCATTGAGCAGGGCCCTCAACCCCTCTGTTCCTGTGTGTCCAACTTGTCTGGTACAACTACATGTCTGTTCGTCCACCCATTGTAAATTTGACGGCGCTCTATAAATTTCAAAATAATAATAATAATAATAAATCATTTCAAGATGGATATCAGAGTATCAATGTCTCAATTATATGATTCACAATGTCAAATTAAGTTAAACGTGGTTTTAATGCAGACATTCAATTCAAATGTTTTCACCATTAGTGGCAGAAATAGGTTGTAACCTTTTTGGACTGTTAGCATGTCGAAAGCTAGAAACTTTTATTGATAGGATAAGAATGTTGGTTTGGAATTTAACTTCCAAGCTTGGAAAATTGGCAGATTTTATTAAAGGACACGGAGGCTCTTATTAGGCTTATCTCTTTCTTTTATTCCTCAGCAGCAAAGAAAGCTAAGGTGTTTATTTGTAGAAAAAAAAAACAAAAACATGCATAAATACCCTCACAGGGTTAACCTTACATCATTATCTCTTAACCAATAGGAACAGTCCACCTCTGATATCCTCTCATGTAACCTCCTCCTCTTCCTCTTTCTTTGCTGCTGCCTCAGCTAAGTAACACCTTCATTTATTGATATGAATTGCTTGATTTAATTTCTGTGATTGTGTTGATTTTGTGTATTGTTGCTGCAGTATACCTCCTGACTGCTGCTTTTCTCTCCCACTTTCAACCCTCCTGTGGGTTCACTCAGTGGGGAAGCCCCCCCACGCTTCCCCGCCGGTTCCCCGACCCCCAGGGCGGGTATACCGGCTGCTCACCTCCCTATCGGGTAGTTTATTACCCGTCCTCCCACCCGCGGCACTCGAGCGCTGGGCGCAGGGAAACCCCTGGGAACGGTTCAACCTGTTCCCTGACGGGTTTTTTCCCCGGCGCCATTGCCCGCGAGTGAGTGCCGCGCGCGCATGCGCATTTCTAGCCGCGACCCGCGGCGGCCATCTTAAAGGGGCGGCAGGCATAAATTTGCCGCTCATTTTCCCCTCAGCTCGCTCAGCCCAGCAAGAGGGGGCGAGCTGATTGGTTTAGAGGTCTGCCTGTCAGCTTACCAGTGCTCCCAGAGGGCATTCCTGAGGGAACACTAGGTAAGCTGGCAGTGCAGCCTTTTTTGTCCTGTCTTTGCCTTGTCTGACTTGTTTAACCGCTACCCTGCCCTGCAGTGTGTAATTAGCAGCCAAAATTTTTACTGATAGACTGTGTGAGTCCCATTCTCCTGCCACTAAGTATCTAACTATGCAGGCCCCTAGTGATCACCCGGCCTCTGGCCCCAGTGATGGTGAGGACACCAACGCCCGCCACCGGGCCAAGATGTCTGAACCCCTAACCCTCAAAGGGGATGCGGTGGCTCCGCTGGAGCAGCTGGACTCGGAGGAGTTCCACTCACTCCTGGACGCCACCATGTCACGGTCGGTCACCCAAGCGATTTATTCTGCAATGGGGGCAATGTCCGACAACCTCTCTCACTCCATCACTACTGCTATTAAGGCATCCACCTATTTGCCCCGCGCTAGAGCCGTGGCAGACGGGTCAGTACGCAGGGAAGGCCGGAAGGCCATAAGCAAAACCCATCACGTGCAAACTCCTACCTCCAAAAAAGAATTGACGGACAGGGTACGTCCTGTCACCGCTGAGGTCGTGGGGCCCCCACGAAAGAGAGCCACCCGCCGGGCAAAAGCGGCGCGGACATGGAAGAGGGCAAAAGCCCTGTCAGATTCTTCCGACACTGATTCGGATAGTGAGGAGGTTTTGAACGAGTCAGACGAGATCGACTCAAATGAATGGGAGGTCTCCTCCCCGGACCATAGTCCGCCACGAGATCCAAATACCCTAAGGTATGATGACGCGGATTCGTCCGCCATTTTGGATCCACAGGGCGAACCTCTGTTCGATCCCGATACATTACAAAATCCTAGGTCAGCGGAGTGGTTCCCAGCTGAGCATGTGGCATGCTACATAGCAGCCAGAATCCGTAAGCCTTTAGATAAGGCCACCAGGAACAAACTGCGGGCGGAATGCCCACGGCCAACAGTCCCCGACATGGCCTCTGCCACGCCGGATATAGATCCCAAGGTAGCGCAGTTCCTGGGAAAAACTGGCTGGAAGGCAAAGAAGGGACTTGATTATTCCCTGCGCCACTGCCAGGACAAAGTACTCGATACACTCGGCCCTAGTGCCAAAATTTTTGAACTGGTTGAAGCAGCCTTAACTGAGGGGACACCGTTAGACTTGCTAGCCATTAGAGGCTGGGCCCAGAGATCCATTTGCCTCATCGGCAACGCTAATGCTGCGCTAGCCACTGAGCGGCGCAAAACCATCCTTATGAAAATCGAGCCCAAGCTCGTAAACATGGCCCTCACCGAACCGGGACCACAAGCCAAAGGTCTCCTATTCGGGGACAATTTTGTTAAGGAGTTAAGCACTTACGTGAGTACGTTTACGGCCCTAGACAAGGCACAGACAAGCATAAAAAGAGTGTTCTCTCCCAGAGTTTTTGGTGGGGCCGGCAGACACCGGGGCCGTCTGCCCGGCCGTTCATCCCGCGGTTCATACCGGGGATACCGAGGTCCCGCTACGGCAAGATTTCAGCTGCCAGAAAACAGAGCACCCTCGCCCTTTTTTCCGGTCAGAGGCAGACCATGGCAACCTCGAGGAAACAGAGGCACCTCATACAGCCGACGGCCTTATGGTGAGTGCAATACCTTTCCCCTCCCCGAGTATACACAGCGTAGGGGGCAGACTGTTACACTTTATAGAGGTCTGGCAACACTTGACAACAGACTCTTGGGTTCTAAATACTGTCTTAGGGTACCGCATAGAGTTCGTACAACCCCCTGTCCAAACTGCCTGGCCACACCGAATAGCGTTCTCCTCACACGACTGGGACCTGGTGGCCAAAGAGATCCTCTCACTCCGAGAAAAAGGCGCAATATTTCAGGTTCCCTCACCCTTCCCGGGGTTCATGAGCAACCTATTCCTGGTACCCAAGAAGGGAGGCGGACTGGATGGTCAAACTAGACCTGCAGGACGCCTACCTCACGATCCCTATAGCGGAAGAATGTCACCACCTACTCCAGTTCCAATGGGAAGGAGCGGCATGGAGATTCCAATGCCTGCCCTTCGGACTCTCATCAGCCCCTTGGTGCTTCACCAAGCTCCTAAAACCAGTGGTCGCGTTATTGCGCAGCAGAGGCATACGAATGATCATATATCTGGACGATATGCTGCTCATTGCGCACGAGGCCTGCCAACTCCGACAGCATCTATCCTGGGCACTGACCCTGTTAAGAAATTTGGGATTCCTCATCAATTGGGACAAATCAGTACTTACCCCATCCCAACACATGGAATTCCTGGGATTCCACATAGACGCAACGACAGGGACACTCAGTTTACCAACAGGAAAAGTCAAGAGCATAAAAAAGGAGATCCGCAGAACGCTGACAAGACCAGTGTTAACTCTGCGACAACTAGCCCCGGACTTCATCATAGAGTCCGACGCGAGCACACACGGTTGGGGAGCGCGCTGCGGGCCTACCTCCACCGGAGGCATCTGGTCATGCTCAGAGAAAGAGTTACACATCAACAGCCTGGAACTCATGGCGGGGTCATTCGCCCTGAGAAGCCTCCTCGGAGCCACAACCAACTGCTCAATTGTCCTACGAATGGACAACATATCTGCAGTCCGATACATCAACCACCTCGGTGGCACAAAGTCAAGGATCCTGGCGGACTTGGCCAAAGACTTCTGGCAACATTGCCTGGCCCGCAATATTTCGGTACAAGCGGAATACATCCCGGGCATGTCCAACATAGTGGCGGACTGGTACTCCAGACATATGAGGGACACCAGCGACTGGCGGCTAGACCGCAGTGTGTTCTTACGACTTCAGACGCTCTGGGGCCCGATGCAAATCGATCTATTTGCGTCTCGTTTGAACTCCCAATTGCCAACATTCTTCAGCTGGAGGCCGGATCCAGACGCCCTGGCAGCGGACGCTTTTCTCCAACACTGGCCACACAACAGATGGTATGCATTTCCTCCGTTCTCCCTCATAGCTCGAACACTAGTACACCTCAGGCGAACTCAAACGTCATTGGTCTCATAACCCCCGTTTTGGACAGCTCAGCCGTGGTTCCCCACACTCATGGAGATGTCTATAGACCTTCCGAGACTCTTACCAGACGTCTCACACCTTTTAGCAGATCCAGAGGGCAAACCACACCCCCTGCTGGTACAGGGGCACTCCAAACTTTTAGCATGGTTGCTTTCAGGGGACCATGGAGCGTCCCAGAGGTTCCACAGGAAACTATCGACTTACTGGCAGGAGCTTGGGCACCTGGAACGAGGCGCTCCTACCTCTATGCCTGGAACGGATGGAGTAGTTGGTGCATGGAACAGCAGGTGGATCCCATATGTGCTCCTATAAATTACCTGTTGCGCTTCCTTACCAACCTATACAATCAAGGTTTGGCCTATCGCACCATCAACGTTTACAGGTCTGCAATCTCAGCGGGACACCGGGGAATAGATGGGACCCCAGTGGGTCAGCAACAGTTGGTATGCCGTCTCCTTCGAGGAATTCGGTTTGCTCGTCCACCGCAACCCCGATACACGTCTCTATGGGACGTCAACTCAGTTTTGCAACTGTTGGAAACTTGGCCACACAATGAGACACTCACTCTGAAACAACTGTCAGCGAAACTAGTCATGCTCCTGTGCTTGATCTCTTGTAAGAGAGTGTCAGACGTCAGAGCGTTGGACGTTGATGCAAGATCCTTTACTCCCACGGGGGTTTCATTCAACATCTCCAGACGTACAAAGTCACCAATTACCTCAGTTTCATATCCGGCATTCCCGCATAACCGTAAACTCTGCCCGGTGGTTTGCTTAAAGGAATACGAGACACGGACCCTGGAATTCAGAAAACCAATGCACCCGGAATTGTTTTTAGCTATCAAACAACCCCACCATCCCGTATCCACGGTAACTCTCGCCAGATGAGTGAGATGGATAATGGTCTTAGCCCACATAGATACAACGGTATATGGTGCACACTCTACCAGAGGGGCCATGGCTTCAAAGGCTTTTAATTTAGGTTGTAAATTGGAAGACATCATGAAAACAGCAGACTGGTCTAGGGCATCGACATTTAAGGAATACTACTTTCGACCTACAGAACATGTGTCAAGTAAAGTTATTGCACAGCTTTAAACTAGCCTAATAAGAGCCTCCGTGTCCTTTAATAAAATTACCAGATTTTACTAATTACATGACGTAAAGTCATGATTTTATAAAGGACACGGAGGCGAGTATTAGCCCACCCAGGGCAGATACAACAAAACATTTGTATCCCAACCCAGGTACGTAATAGAGACTTTAATAAATGAGTTACCATTGATATATGGGGTATGTGTTACGCTATGGTAAATCTATCAAACGAGTAATGATTGCATGTTTAACATATGACTGATTACATAAACAGCTCACCTTTTAATACCATAGTAAGATGAAAATAGTTGGCAAAGACACGTTTTACCGTTTGTTTTTCTTTGTCTTTCCAGCCTGAACCACAGCTAAAAGATACCCACTGATGACGGGAAGTAATCCCGCAGTTTTGAGAGGATCAGTTCCGGAAGATCCCGCGTTATTTGTGGACGGATTCAACTTCAACGTCAAGTATCCAGTTGTCAACCTTTTTGTGTTTTGGTTATAGCGAATTTTTGTTACATGCTAATGGTGATTTGTTTGCTTCGGCATCATCAAGAAAGAGGAAGAGGAGGAGGTTACATGAGAGGATATCAGAGGTGGACTGTTCCTATTGGTTAAGAGATAATGATGTAAGGTTAACCCTGTGAGGGTATTTATGCATGTTTTTTTTTTTTTTTCTACAAATAAACACCTTAGCTTTCTTTGCTGCTGAGGAATAAAAGAAAGAGATAAGCCTAATACTCGCCTCCGTGTCCTTTATAAAATCATGACTTTACGTCATGTAATTAGTAAAATCTGGTAATTTGTGTTATAAGTTAAAGGCTTATCTCTCAAAAACATTTATCCTCTAGACTTTAATGGGGGAACCGCTATTCACTTACCACAATTAAGTTAATGAGAGAGTTGGTTGTTCTGTGCTGTCACAATATGTGTCTGTTGCACAGCGTAAACTCAAGTCACCAGATGGTAGAATTTTTTAATAAAACACTCACTTTTTTCTTGTCAAGCATGGGAAACAAACCAAGCTGTCATACACACATAAAACTGTCAATGTATGGTAATATAAAATTTTCAATATGATCTTTTTCATTCGATCTTGACCTCTACAGTTCAGTACTTTCTCTGTGACCCTATTTGTAAGAAAATGTGATGCAATGTCATAACATGATGACAATTTATCTCTAGAGCAGGGATTAAGATGTCTATCTGATTCCATATGTTCAGATAAGCATATTTGACATGCCTTAAAATCCACTAAATGTACAGTTTCACATGTATTTCATTGCTAGCAAAATCTGATGTTTGTTATTTTTTAAGTATTGCTGAGAACTATAAAATGGAGTATAATACAGTTAATCCATGTTGATTTCATTTATTCATAACTCGTGGAAGATCAAACAATTTGGTGATCTATTTTGAGCTTGAAATTGTCATGGTGCTCTATACAATATAAAACCACAATACACTCCCGAACATTCCACCCTAGGGCCTTGGCCACAGATGCCCTGTCCAGCAGATGGTTCTTCAATCTTGCATATGTTTTTCCTCTGTTCCCGCTCATCTGGAGAACCCTAAAGAAAATAAAGCTGGAACATCTTCGGGTAATTGCGATCCTACCTTTCTGGCCATGCAGACCATGGTTCCCACTTCTCAAGTCCATGTCAACAGCGCATCCCTGGGAACATCCAAAGATTCACAATCTGTTGATTCAGGGGCCAACAATTCACCCATCCCTGAACAACTTTCACTTAACTGCATGGAAACTGAATGGAGGAATCTAGTTGAGAGAGGTTTTTATCAATCAGTAGTTAACACCCTGTTGCAATCCAGAAGGAAACTGACCTCCTCTACATATTATCAGATTTGGTCTTTTTTTTTGGCATGGGCCAAGGATAACAATATTTTTTTTTCTCCCACAGTTTCCAACATCTTGGATTTCATTCAAACAGGGTTTGATAGAGGTCTCAGCCTGAGTTCTTTACGTGTGCAGCCTTATCTGCCCTTACTGGAACCAGGTGGGCATTGGATTACATGGTAGCCCAGTTTCTTACAGCTGTCAAAAAAGTTAAGCCTATTGTTAGATCCCTGTCTCCACCTTAGGACCTGCCTTTGGTGTTAAAAGCTTTGTCTCTTGCACCGTTTGAACCTTTAGTAGAATCTTCAGATCGTTTGCTTACATTGAAATTCATCCTACTTGTTGCAGTCACTTCAGGCAGAAGGATTTCAGAGGTTCAAGCCTTATTTGCAGAAGAACCTCATACTGTGTTTTGCCGTATAAAGTGGTCTTACGCACAGTCCCAGAATTTCGTCCAAAGGTTTTGTCAAATTTCCATCTTAATGATGAAATTATTTTGCCTTCCTTCTTTCCATCACCTTTGAATCAAGAAGAAGAGAGATGCCATACTTTGGATGTATCTAGATGTCTTTTGATTTACTTGACTAAAACAGAAAAATGGAGACAGTCTTCAATACCTTTTCTAATCTATGCTGGACATAACAGAAGTTTTGCAGCATCTAAATCTACATTAAATTGTTGGAATATTGAATTGAATTTCATCTGCATATCAGGTTCAAAAAGTTCCAGTACCTTCTGGTTTAAGGGCACATTCTGTGAGATTCTTGGCATCATCGTGAGCAGCTGCAACTAACACTCCTATTGAGAGCATTTGTAGAGCAGCTACCTGGGCATCAGCCAACACTTTTATAAGGCATTATGTCTTGGATGTAAGATCCCAAAAGAAAATGGAATTTGGCAGAAACATTCTTTCTTCAGTTTCCTAAAATATTTTCTTTTGGAATAATAAAAATTATATTGAGCATTCTAGCAATGTGGCGTCTGTTTATTTATATTTGGTATTTTCCCTCCCTTAAAGGACCACTATAGTGCCAGGAAAACAAACTCGTTCTCCTGGCACTATAAGGTCTTTGGGTCCCCCCCACCCTCTGGGACCCCCCCCCCTGCCGGGCTGAAGGGGGAAGAAGGGGTTAAATTCTTACTTTTCTCCAACGCCGGGCTCCCTCAGCGCTGGGGAATCTCCTCCCTCTTACGACGTCATCCGCTGAATGCGCAT